ATGAAGTGAATAATGTATATTTCCAAGAAAATATCGCAGCTTTCCAAAGTGTTGATTAAAAGTTATTGAGAAGTCTTTTTTTATAATTTAACTGTAGATAAAGAATATTTCTTTCAAGCAGGGAAGTTTTTGTGTTGGTTGAATGAACTATTGTAACTAAGCCGATGGAGGCAAAGTAGGTTGACAAATCCGAATCGACCTAGAGCGCTCCGGAATTATCTAATGGACTTCAGGTCTGTGACAGGAACGGTGAAAGTGAGATTGGTATGCCCCAGTATTTGGGATTTGTAGTACTGACAGGGGCTACGCCTTAGTGTTTTGGGGGTTGATGGTGTTATGGGACTTGGTTTGGAAGGTATGAACGGCTGAGGGAGAGAAAAGCAAGATCAACACGGAAAATGACTCAAAGTGGAAGAAACATTGTGAAAAAGGAAGAAAAGCAGTGAAATAGAAAAGACCCTGGGACAGATTTCAAAAGACTTTTGCTCCTTGTTTCAGATGTAATCTGGATCACGCATACACACATACACACAGTATAGGTGTGAGTGTGTGTATTTTTGTGATCAGTGAAACGTTACTCTATCCTTTATGCGTATTTGAAGGAGGATCACGCACATGACACACATAATATACATGTATTGTTGACTTTATATTCCTCTGGGTTTACCAGGCTTCTCTGCAAATGTGCCCTTTTATCTTAGTTGCAAAGACCGATTATTGTGATGGTTTAAAGAATGGAACTGGCCAGCTTTCTGTTGAACGCTGCATGACAGCAGGCAATTGCTCTCTCTTGCTAATTCATTAAGCTGTTCCTTTTCTTTATTTTGTACATATCTCCTCAGAACTTCATGTGTCTTTTCCAACAATTCAGACTTCACAAACCTTTTTATAGATTTATATGCTTTGAAATTGCTGACTTACTGAATATAATGAATAATCCTATTTCACCATTACAATATGATCGCTCCTGGACACAGCTAGAAGGCTATGTCATGAGCCCACGCTTTAGTAAATCAGCCGCTAAATCTGACGCATCTTGAAAGTGCAATTTTGAAGGAAGGCTAATTTGTGCTCCTTCATGTACGTAAATCTGGTCCAGAGCTTAAGTAGTACATGACCCGCGTGCATCTACTGTGTGAAGATTACAGTAGTGTATTTCTATATTAGTGGCAAATTGTTTGTGTCTAAGACCTTCAAAGTGAAAACATTGTGGACAGTCCTCATTTCATAAAGGGACTTTATGAACTTGATTACAGCCTCAGATGATCAAGTGGGAACTTTTTAAAAACAATAGGGTGCCCAGTCATTTCTAATACAACTGTGAAACTGTGAATGCATACAAAAACACTTACGATCATTGACGCATTTCTACCTAGAGAGGGTCAAGGGATAATACATGTATCATTGTATGAAATATGCAGAGATTTACAGCGTATTATAGAGGAAATAATGTCTTAAGTGTTTTAATAAATTAAACCTTTTGATGAGATGTTAAAAGTAACACAAGGTGAGCAACTAATATGTTGAGGCTGATCTGTAAATGTGTCACTGTTGTCCTTTTTTAATATGTATTCATAAGACTCTCCGTTTCTGTTTCTCAGTTTGTCTTCCTCTCCATCCACCACCTCTCGGGCATGTACGAACTAGTCGCATATATTCAGAACCAATTTTACATCACATTGCCTCGGCTCTGCTCTCCACATACCGCCAGACTCTTGCACTCAGAAGCCAACTCGACTCTCGACCTGTATAAGTGCACCCGACCAAAAGGATAGCGACAGCTTTCTGCAAGCACTTCTTTTTTTTTTACACCGACTTAACAGAACTTTTAATCATGTCGAAAGTGTTTATGGTGCAGGCAAATTTTCATGAGCTGTGACATAATGGTCATGAAGTGAGTAAAGGAGGGAATGTTACCTGCATTGCACCGCACAGGAATGATGACTGTGTCCAATGAACAAGGAAGAGAGAATATGTTGCTCCATCATTGAAAATGAACTCATTTTAATAAGGAAGGTACAGCATGACATAGAAGTTTTTAATGAGAATTAAAAACAGGTTGATGCAGTGTCACTTATGTATTCCTTCTGTATTTCAAGAGTGTCCTTAGCTAAAAGCTAAAAACAACCTTTTTTGTCATTTATCTATTTGTCTCTGTGTGATTGTAGCTTAGAAAGTTTCTATTTAACCCTGATGAACTCACCCATGTCTGCAGAATCTGCTGTCTAAAGTACAGTCTTGCATTAGTACAGCAGCTTGGCTTAGCTATAACCAATGCAATCATTGCCTTATATATCTATCTATCTATCTCTCTTTCTCTCTATCTATCTATCTATCTATCTATCTATCTCTCTATCTCTCTATCTCTCTATCTCTCTCTCTCTCTCTCTCTCTCTCTCTCTCTCTCTCTCTCTCTCT